GGGTCAGGATTGGCCCAGGCCCACATCTCTTCTTCCTTTGGGCCTGGGCCTCTTCAGGGTCAGGATTGGCCTGGGCACACTCATTTTCTTGGTCTGCCCCAGGCCTCTTTCATTTGATTGGTCAAGGCCTAATTCTCTGGATAATTGTGCCCAGGTTTCCTTAGGGTAAGGGATTGGCCCAGGCCCACATCTCTTCTTCCTTTGGGCCCAGGCCTCTTCAGGGTCAGGATTGGCCTGGGCACACTCATTTTCTTGGTCTGGCCCAGGCCTCTTTCATTTGATTGGCCAAGGCCTAATTCTCTGGATAATTGTGCCCAGGTTTCCTTAGGGTAAGGGATTGGCCCAGGCCCACATCTCTTCTTCCTTTGGGCCCGGGCCTCTTCAGGGTCAGGTTTGGCCCAGGCCCACATCTCTTCTTCCTTTGGGCCTGGGCTTCTTCAGGGTCAGGATTGGCCGGGGCACACTCATTTTCTTGGTCTGGCCCAGGCCTCTTTCATTTGATTGGCCAAGGCCTAATTCTCGGTATAATTGTGCCCAGGCTTCCTTAGGGTAAGGGATTGGCCCAGGCCCACATCTCTTCTTCCTTTGGGCCCAGGCCTCTTCAGGGTCAGGATTGGCCTGGGCATACTCATTTTCTTGGTCTGGCCCAGGCCTCTTTCATTTGATTGACCAAGGCCTAATTCTCTGGATAATTGTGCCCAGGCTTCCTTAGGGTAAGGGATTGGCCCAGGCCCACATCTCTTCTTCCTTTGGGCCCGGGGCCTCTTCAGAGTCAGGATTGGCCCAGGCCCACATCTCTTCTTCCTTTGGGCCGGGGTCTCTTCAGGGTCAGGATTGGCCTGCTCAACTCACTTTCTTGGTTTGGCCCAGGCCTTTTTCATTCAATTGGCCCAGGCCTAATTCTCGGTACAATTGTGCCCAGGCTTCCTTAGGGTAAGGGATTGGCCCAGGCCCACATCTCTTCTTCCTTTGGGCCCGGGCCTCTTCAGGGTCAGGATTGGCCTGGGCACACTCATTTTCTTGGTCTGGCCCAGGCCTCTTTCATTTGATTGACCAAGGCCTAATTCTCTGGATAATTGTGCCCAGGCTTCCTTAGGGTAAGGGATTGGCCCAGGCCCACATCTCTTCTTCCTTTGGGCCCGGGCCTCTTCAGAGTCATGATTGGCCCAGGCCCACATCTCTTCTTCCTTTGGGCCCAGGCCTCTTCAGGGTCAGGATTGGCCTGGGCACACTCATTTTCTTGGTCTGGCCCAGGCCTCTTTCATTTGATTGGCCAAGGCCTAATTCTCTGGATAATTGTGCCCAGGTTTCCTTAGGGTAAGGGATTGGCCCAGGCCCACATCTCTTCTTCCTTTGGGCCCGGGGCCTATTCAGAGTCAGGATTGGCCCAGGCCCACATCTCTTCTTCCTTTGGGCCCGGGCCTCTTCAGAGTCAGGATTGGCCCAGGCCCACATCTCTTCTTGCTTTGGGCCCGGGCCTCTTCAGGGTCAGGATTGGCCTGGGCACACTCATTTTCTTGGTCTGGCCCAGGCCTCTTTCATTTGATTGGCCCCGGCCTAATTCTCTGGATAATTGTGCCCAGGTTTCCTTAGGGTAAGGGATTGGCCCAGGCCCACATCTCTTCTTCCTTTGGGCCCAGGCCTCTTCAAGGTCAGGATTGGCCTGGGCACACTCATTTTCTTGGTCTGGCCCAGGCCTCTTTCATTTGATTGGCCCAGGCCTAATTCTCTGGATAATTGTGCCCAGGCTTCCTTAGGGTAAGGGATTGGCCCAGGCCCACATCTCTTCTTCCTTTGGGCCCGGGCCTCTTCAGGGTCAGGATTGGCCCAGGCCCACATCTCTTCTTCCTTTGGGCCTGGGCCTCTTCAGGGTCAGGATTGGCCTGGGCACACTCATTTTCTTGGTCTGGCCCAGGCCTCTTTCATTTGATTGGCCAAGGCCTAATTCTCTGGATAATTGTGCCCAGGTTTCCTTAGGGTAAGGGATTGGCCCAGGCCCACATCTCTTCTTCCTTTGGGCCCGGGCCTCTTCAGGGTCAGGTTTGGCCCAGGCCCACATCTCTTCTTCCTTTGGGCCTGGGCTTCTTCAGGGTCAGGATTGGCCGGGGCACACTCATTTTCTTGGTCTGGCCCAGGCCTCTTTCATTTGATTGGCCAAGGCCTAATTCTCGGTATAATTGTGCCCAGGCTTCCTTAGGGTAAGGGATTGGCCCAGGCCCACATCTCTTCTTCCTTTGGGCCCAGGCCTCTTCAGGGTCAGGATTGGCCTGGGCACACTCATTTTCTTGGTCTGGCCCAGGCCTCTTTCATTTGATTGACCAAGGCCTAATTCTCTGGATAATTGTGCCCAGGCTTCCTTAGGGTAAGGGATTGGCCCAGGCCCACATCTCTTCTTCCTTTGGGCCCGGGGCCTCTTCAGAGTCAGGATTGGCCCAGGCCCACATCTCTTCTTCCTTTGGGCCGGGGTCTCTTCAGGGTCAGGATTGGCCTGCTCAACTCACTTTCTTGGTTTGGCCCAGGCCTTTTTCATTCAATTGGCCCAGGCCTAATTCTCGGTACAATTGTGCCCAGGCTTCCTTAGGGTAAGGGATTGGCCCAGGCCCACATCTCTTCTTCCTTTGGGCCCGGGCCTCTTCAGGGTCAGGATTGGCCTGGGCACACTCATTTTCTTGGTCTGGCCCAGGCCTCTTTCATTTGATTGACCAAGGCCTAATTCTCTGGATAATTGTGCCCAGGCTTCCTTAGGGTAAGGGATTGGCCCAGGCCCACATCTCTTCTTCCTTTGGGCCCGGGCCTCTTCAGAGTCATGATTGGCCCAGGCCCACATCTCTTCTTCCTTTGGGCCCAGGCCTCTTCAGGGTCAGGATTGGCCTGGGCACACTCATTTTCTTGGTCTGGCCCAGGCCTCTTTCATTTGATTGGCCAAGGCCTAATTCTCTGGATAATTGTGCCCAGGTTTCCTTAGGGTAAGGGATTGGCCCAGGCCCACATCTCTTCTTCCTTTGGGCCCGGGGCCTATTCAGAGTCAGGATTGGCCCAGGCCCACATCTCTTCTTCCTTTGGGCCCGGGCCTCTTCAGAGTCAGGATTGGCCCAGGCCCACATCTCTTCTTGCTTTGGGCCCGGGCCTCTTCAGGGTCAGGATTGGCCTGGGCACACTCATTTTCTTGGTCTGGCCCAGGCCTCTTTCATTTGATTGGCCCCGGCCTAATTCTCTGGATAATTGTGCCCAGGTTTCCTTAGGGTAAGGGATTGGCCCAGGCCCACATCTCTTCTTCCTTTGGGCCCAGGCCTCTTCAAGGTCAGGATTGGCCTGGGCACACTCATTTTCTTGGTCTGGCCCAGGCCTCTTTCATTTGATTGGCCCAGGCCTAATTCTCTGGATAATTGTGCCCAGGCTTCCTTAGGGTAAGGGATTGGCCCAGGCCCACATCTCTTCTTCCTTTGGGCCCGGGCCTCTTCAGGGTCAGGATTGGCCCAGGCCCACATCTCTTCTTCCTTTGGGCCTGGGCCTCTTCAGGGTCAGGATTGGCCTGGGCACACTCATTTTCTTGGTCTGCCCCAGGCCTCTTTCATTTGATTGGTCAAGGCCTAATTCTCTGGATAATTGTGCCCAGGTTTCCTTAGGGTAAGGGATTGGCCCAGGCCCACATCTCTTCTTCCTTTGGGCCCAGGCCTCTTCAGGGTCAGGATTGGCCTGGGCACACTCATTTTCTTGGTCTGGCCCAGGCCTCTTTCATTTGATTGGCCAAGGCCTAATTCTCTGGATAATTGTGCCCAGGTTTCCTTAGGGTAAGGGATTGGCCCAGGCCCACATCTCTTCTTCCTTTGGGCCCGGGCCTCTTCAGGGTCAGGTTTGGCCCAGGCCCACATCTCTTCTTCCTTTGGGCCCAGGCCTCTTCAGGGTCAGGATTGGCCTGGGCACACTCATTTTCTTGGTCTGGCCCAGGCCTCTTTCATTTGATTGGCCAAGGCCTAATTCTCTGGATAATTGTGCCCAGGTTTCCTTAGGGTAAGGGATTGGCCCAGGCCCACATCTCTTCTTCCTTTGGGCCCAGGCCTCTTCAAGGTCAGGATTGGCCTGGGCACACTCATTTTCTTGGTCTGGCCCAGGCCTCTTTCATTTGATTGGCCCAGGCCTAGTTCTCTGGATAATTGTGCCCAGGCTTCCTTAGGGTAAGGGATTGGCCCAGGCCCACATCTCTTCTTCCTTTGGGCCCGGGCCTCTTCAGAGTCAGGATTGGCCCAGGCCCACATCTCTTCTTCCTTTGGGCTGGGGCCTCTTCAGGTTCAGGATTGGCCTGCTCAACTCACTTTCTTGGTTTGGCCCAGGCCTTTTTCATTCAATTGGCCCAGGCCTATTTCTCGGTATAATTGTGCCCAGGCTTCCTTAGGGTAAGGGATTGGCCCAGGCCCACATCTCTTCTTCCTTTGGGCCCAGGCCTCTTCAGGGTCAGGATTGGCCTGGGCACACTCATTTTCTTGGTCTGGCCCAGGCCTCTTTCATTTGATTGGCCCAGGCCTAATTCTCTGGATAATTGTGCCCAGGCTTCCTTAGGGTAAGGGATTGGCCCAGGCCCACCTCTCTTCTTTCTTTGGGCCCGGGCCTCTTCAGAGTCAGGATTGGCCCAGGCCCACATCTCTTCTTCCTTTGGTCCCGAGCCTCTTCAGGGTCAGGATTGGCCTGGGCACACTCATTTTCTTGGTCTGGCCCAGGCCTCTTTCATTTGATTGGCCCAGGCCTAATTCTCTGGATAATTGTGCCCAGGCTTCCTTAGGGTAAGGGATTGGCCCAGGCCCATATCTCTTCTTGCTTTGGGCCCGGGCCTCTTCAGGGTCAGGATTGGCCTGGGCACACTCATTTTCTTGGTCTGGCCCAGGCCTCTTTCATTTGATTGGCCAAGGCCTAATTCTCTGGATAATTGTGCCCAGGTTTCCTTAGGGTAAGGGATTGGCCCAGGCCCACATCTCTTCTTGCTTTGGGCCCGGGCCTTTTCAGGGTCAGGATTTGTCTGGGCACACTCATTTTCTTGGTATAGCCCTGGCTTCTTTCATTTGATTGGCCCAGGCCTATGTTTCCTCTCTAACAGGCCTGGGCTTCGTTAAGGTCAAAGAGTTCTTTGGGTCACCATGTCTTCTGATTTGGGTTCCAGCCTTTTTCAGGGTCAGGGTACCTGCTTAATATTAGGGTGGAGGTACTCAATCCTTTCCAGCCCATGGTTGCTCAAATCTTTGACTAAGTCTTCTTCTATTTTCAGCAGTTCTGAAAAAATAAAAAGAAAAGTCATATGGACTCTCATATTGGAAAATACTAGCATGTTAAATGTTCTCAGAACATCACTGACCTATCCTCAGGGAAACATGCACAGACACAGACACAAATAGCCCACAGTTTACATAAAATAACTATACATTACACAAAGATGAAATATGTAGGAGAGAAACCTGGTTGGGTAACTCCTTCCTGTTGCACAGCTGACTGTCTTTGGTGGAGGGGATATCCATGAGCACATATGGAAAGACTGTTCCTTTGACGTTGTGAGATACACATAGGAGATTCCCACCAAGATACCAAGGTATATTTCCTTTCTGTGGTCTGAACCCTTGATGGAATATCACAGTTACAAGAAACAGCAGAGGTTAGCCCTCCCATCATCTAGAGGATACTTTGCTAAGGCATAGAAGTCTCTAGAGATAATCAAAACATCTCTCTGCTGTGTGGGGATGCTGTCCTCTCTCTGAATGTCATACATGGCCATGTTCAGTGAGGGTATTTCATTCTCTGATCTTTGTTTTTGCAACCCTTCTCAAGATCACATCTGTCTTGTCCATCAAAAACACCTCAGACACTGAATCTGCCTTAGTCACCGCTTTCAAGAGAGCCCCCTGCCAAGTACACTGCTTTGAGATCACTTCTTCACCTACAGAGTTTTCTACAATCACTTACCTGAAACAGATCACTGCCCACCTTCTCCTGAGCTAAATCCTGGTCCACTGTAATGGGCTCTGCTGCCCTCAGATCTGGGTCACACCTGTAACCATGACAGTGACCTCATGTGAGGTCATAGAGGCCAGGCCTCACTCGTCTGAGACTCAGATGTCTTTTGGGCTGGTACTTAGAAGAAGTCCCTGAAGTCTTCTCTTAAGATCATTTCTTGGGAACAAGCTCACATCCTGTCTTCCTTCTCCAGGGAATTTCACACCTGGGACCAGCATGTTCAGTGGGGAAGGGTCATACTCAGCCCTAATGTGCACAGTTCACTTCTTGGTGTCTCGTTTCTGCTGCTCAGTTTATCAACAAGTTTCTCTTGTCAAGAGATTTTAATTGTGCCATCTGCAGTATTTTGGGTATCAAGCTGATGGATAATGTTGGGGTACAACCTTGCCCATCACCACCATTAAACATAGCTTGCAGGAGGATTGCCCAGAAAGCAGGATATCATGAAATTCCCTTACCTGGCCCTGCCATGATACAGTCAATGACTTCTGAGGATATCACTCTGGATACCAGCATAACAGCAGAGCTTCATCCTGTCGTCAGTTTGGAAACTGGAGTTCCAAGGCAGGTGCTGGCTCTGCCTCAGCAGCTGTCACCTTTTCTCACAAATACAGGTTGTGGTTAGTTGAAGAAATTTGACAAAATCCACTCAGACATACATACAGATTAAACCACAAATATATTAACTCAGGTCTCATAAGTAGAAGCTTAAGTTTGAAAATAAAACGGATCGAGTATGGCATCAGTGTCTGTGGACATTCTGGGAAGGGCCTATGAGCCGAATGTAAAGATGATTTCCAGGAAGGTTCATGTCTAGAGAAGCCCAAGAGAAGCACCCCTACCTGTGAAGCATGTGCTCCCTGTGGGAATGTCACAAACAGGTGGGTGGGGCCAGTAATTATCTTTAACATTCAGTAGGCTCAAGCCTTAAGTGATAGACTATGCACTGAGTTGATACTTTCTTCAGAGGCCTCTCCTCATTAAATTTTACATACAATTTATATTTAAATGTATAAGTTAGGGAGATGGCTGTAGTCGTGTTTCATATTGTGTCCCTGACTTCAGCCATGCTGGGCCCAACCAATAGTTATAAATGATAAGGATCATGCTTGGAAGAAGCAAAGACCCTTCAGAGCACTGCAGTAATGAATTTGACACACTCCCTACCTGTCCTGACACTGTGGGCTGCCATAGCTGATGGTTGTCCCTGGCTTGGGCCCACTAGAAGAGTTTCTTCTGCACCAGCCTGGAGCCTGAAGTCTTCTCATGTGATACAGGCTGGGTGTGGACATCCCATGGCCTCTTTCTCCAGTGAGTTGTGGGTGTTGTCTTCCTGAGTCCTTGTTACACTAGTTCTTTGTCACACATCTTACAGACACTTACTGCAGCTTTTTCTACAGCTATAGCACAGGTCCTGTTAAAGAACCACATTGTGCCTCATATCCTTTATCATCCCTGCTCCCAGTATAGCACAGGGAAGTTAAATTAGGCCTTCATTCCAGGAAACCTGTATCTATTTCTCTATCCACAGAGCATAAACCTTCCTCTAAACACATCCAAGTGAAAACCTGTATAAGCACAGAATTAGAAGGAGAGTACTACCATGGTGCTTACTGTGATAGTGACATTGGTGTCTATTCCCAGAAAACAGCCCAAACGTACCGAGTCACATGCACTTGCTGTGGTTCAAGCCCTCCTTCTGGACTCTGGTTTGTCCTCAGGTAAGACAACCGCATTACTAGGTGAGGGTTCTATTGTGAGGTCACAGAGGCCTCACCCACCTCATTCTGAGAATCCCAGGTCATCCAGACCGCAGTTCTCTCCCAGCCTGACCCATCCTTGTTCTTTTCCAACCTATGTGCAAACATCCCTGGAGGCACTTAGCTTTGGGAAAGCAGCTAGAATTGTCTCAGGGATATTTCTGTGAGGATCCATTACATTTCTCTCCTGTCATTCCTCCATCTTCCCACAGGTACCATCACCCTTGAGAGGAGGAACGCAGTTGACAATGCCGCTTCCTCAGCTCAATTGTCTGAACACACACTCTGCCTCATCATCTCAGATTCTTCATAGTCACCATGGTTTACTGCTGGCACTCAGCCTGTGGGATACCATCTTCTGCCCTTCTACTTGGTTCCAACAGTAACCTTATCTTATTTCCTACTTAACTCTCTGCATCATTAATCTTGAGTTTGTGAGTTATTAGCTTGTTCTTGTCTGGCATTCCTGTGGCCCTGGGTTTTAGAATGAACAGCACAAAAATACATAGATGAATAACTAATAAATACATACAGCATGGATGATTGACAATAGAGTTGCAAGCAGAGAGAGAGCCCTCCTTGTGAGATACAGAGACCCCTGGAAGCACAAGGTTTTCCTTGTCCCAAATCAGCTGACCTTTCACTCAAAATGCTGTGTGCAGAAATGACCAAGCTGTCCAGAAATGTGCCAAGCCCTTTGTGCCCAGGTGTGTGCAGGTTATGCAGTGGTATTCAGGCTTTGTTAGCCCTGCTGGGACATGAGACTCTTTGTCAAATCAGTGCTTCCCCTGTGCTGGAAGTTCAGTCTCTCAATCATCAGGTTTCCAGTGCTTCTCATGAAGGGATGATGGACATAAGTCATGATTGACACCAAACAAGGAGACTTCTGGCCAACCAGGTCATGGGGCTACCGTGCATTTTGTGTAGACTCTAAGTGTTTTAAGGCACAGACATTAATTGTAAAAATCTTAAAGGAGAGTCAATGGGTTCTTTTCTTTTCTAAGAAAGGGGACATAAAAGTCTGGGTAGGGAGCTGAGGGCAGATCTGGAAGGAGTTAGGGGGAGGATTGTAGGGTAAGTAAGATCAGAATATATTGTGTGATATTGTCAAAGAATTAATAAAAATATTTATTCATTTACTAATGCATTTATTTATTCGACTTCATGCATTGGCCTCTTTGAACGTCCAAATACAAACAACCATGCCACGTGCCTGGCCTCATCACATTTCTTTAGTTGTGGAGAAAGATTCTATAACCCCTTTTTCATATAATGGCTCTAAAGCTGCATTTCTTTACCTGTGGTCAGGACCCCTTTGGGGGTGGTATTGAAAACTCCATTCACAAGGGGTATCCTTAGACCATAGGATATTTACATTACAATCCATTACAGTGGCCAAATTACAACTATGAATCTGCAATGAAAATAACATTATGGTTGTGGGTCATCACATCATAAGGAACTATATTAAATGGTTGCAGCATTAGGAAGGTTTAGAACCACCACTCTAAAGCCAGAATCACATATGATAAGCTAAAAGTTCTACTGCTTCCAGAAGATGGAACATTGCCCCCTCGTTCAAATACATTTTCACCAGCTTTCTGGGTTTATGGTTTCCTTCACTGTCTAAGCTTACCAGTCCTGGAATTCAGTCTGTAGACCATGTTGCATGAACTCAGAGATCCACCTGCCTGTGCTTCCAGAGTGTAAAATATCACAGGAACAGTCTCTAGTCCACATACTAAAATTCTTCTCCTCTGAAACCTCCTGAGTCAGGCCCTCACTGTTCAAAGCACTCTCAGCACCACTATCTTCCATACTCCTACTGATGAGGCCCATTAAGCCCCACTTAAAGTGTTCAACTGCTTTTTTGAGTCCAAAGTCCACAATCCTCCAAACAAAAGTGTGGCCATCCCAACACAGTAATACACCCCTTCTGTCAGCAACTACTGTCTAAGCTAGTGTTGTATTTCTTTGTAGAGACACCATGACCATGTGATAGTTTGAATGTAATTTGCCCCTATAATCTCATAAGGAGTGGCACTATTAGGAGGTGTGACTTTGTTGGAGTGAGTATGGCTTTCTTACAATTGTGTCTCTATGGGGGCAGGCTTTGAGATTTCCTGTGTTCAAGATCCCACTCAGTGTCTCCTTTCACTTCCTGTTGCCATATATATATATATATGTATGTATGTATGTATGTATATATATATATAATTTTTAAATTTAAATTTAAATTAGAAACAAGGTTGCTTCACATGTAAATTCCAGGTCCCTCTCCATTTCCCTTGCCTCCTCCAGTGCCCTCCCACCAACCACCCCAATATCCTCTCATTTCCCCAGGGAGGGTGAGGCCCTCCATGGGGGTGTCCATAGTCTGTCATTTCATCCAGGGCAGGGCCTAGACCCTCCCCCAAGAGTTCAGTGTGAGAGTGCACCTCACATTGTTGGATTGGAGTCCATACCTGGGATAAACTCTGATCTACTACCCAAGGCCCAATAGATTACCTAGGTCTCCTCACTGACACCCACATTCAGGGGGTCTTGATCAGTCCCTTGCTAGATTCCCAGGCATCATTCTGGGATTCAAGATCTAACCCTTGTCATTCAGCTGTTTCTGTGGGTTAAACCAGCCCAGTCTTAATCCTTTTGGTCATCAGTCCTCCCTCTCTGTCACTGGATTTCTTGAGTTCTGCTCAGTGCTTAGCCATGGAAGTCTGCCTCTGCTTCCATCAGCCACTGAATGAAGGTTCTGTTTCCCAGACTCTCTGCCCATGGGATTGTAGGCTGGTGCTCCCCAGATCTATGTCTAAAATCAATATAAGAGAGTACATGCCATGTTTCTCTTATATTGTAACTGGGTTACCTCACTCAGGATGGTTTCTTGTAGTGCTATCCATTTGCCTGCAAATTTCAGGATTCCATTGTTTTTTTTTTCTGCTGAATAGTACTCCACTGTATAAATGTATCACATTTTCTCTCTCCACTCTTCGGTTGAGGGGCATCTAGGTTGCTTCCGAGTTCTGGCTATTACAAATAATGCTTCTATGAACATAGTGGAACAGACATCCTCGTTGTATGAATGGGCATCTTTTGGATATATGCCTAAGAGTGTAGTTCCTGGGTCTTGTGGTAGATTGATTCCCATTTTTCTGAGGAATCTCCATACTGATTTCCAAAGTGGCTGTATAAGTTGGCATTCCCACCTGCAGTGGAGGAGTGTTCCCCTTTCACCACATCCTCTCCAGCATAAATTGTCATTGATGTTTTTTATTTTAGCCATTCCTACAGGAGTGAAATGGTATCTCAGAGTTGTTTTAATTTGCATTTCCCTGATTGCTAACGATGTTGAGCACTTTCTCAAGTGCCTCTCAGCCATTTTAGACTCCTCTCTTGAAAATTCTCTATTTAGTTCTGTAGCCCACTTTTTAATTGGATCCTTTGGTGTTTTGGAGACTTGCTTCTTGAGTTCTTTGTAAATTTTGGAGACCAGCCCTCTGTCAGATGTGGGATTAGTGAATATTTTTCCCATTCTTTGTGCTGCCTTTTTGTCTTGCTGACTGTGTCCTTTGCCTTACAGAAGCTTCTCAGTTTCAGGAGGTGCCATTTATTAATTGTTGATCTCCCTGTCTGTGCTACTGGTGTTATGTTCAGGAAGCTATCTCCTGTACCAATTTATTCAAGGGTACCAACCCACTTTCTCTTCTAAGAGGTTCAGTGTGGCTGGATTTATGTTGACGTCTTTGATCCATTTGGACTTATGTTTTGTGCATGACGATAGACATGGATGGATCCACATTCTTCTACATGCCAGCATCCAGTTATGCCATCACCATTTGTTGAAGATGCTTTCTTTTTTTCCATTGTATATTTTTAGCTTCTTTGTCAAAGATCAGATGTTCATACATGTGTGGGTTAGTATCAGTGTTTTCAATTCGATTCCATTGGTCTACCTGTCTATTTTGTGCCAATACCAAGCTGTTTTCAGGACTACAGCTCTGTAATAGAGCTTGAAGTCAGGTATGGTGATGCCTCCAGATGTTGCTTTGTTGAATAAGGTTGTTTTGGCTATCCTTGGTCTTTTGTTTTCCATACAATGTTGATTATTGTTCTTTTAATGTCTGTGAAGAATTGTGCTGGGATTTTCATGGGTATTGCACTAAATCTGTATATTGCTTTCAGTAAGATTGCCATTTTTACTATGTTGATCCTACCTATCTAAGAGCATGGGAGATCTTTCCACCTTCTGGTGTCTTCTTTAATTTCTTTTTTAAAAACTCAAAGTTCTTGCTATACAGGTCTTTCACTTGTTTGGTTAGCGTTACCACAAGGTATTTTATGTTGTTTGTGGCTATTGTAAAGGGCGATGTTTTTCTGATTTCTTTCTCAGCCCTTTTATCATCTGTATATAGTAGGGCTACTGATTTTCTTGAGTTGATCTTGTATCCTGCCACTTTGCTGAAAATATTTATCAGCTGCAGGAGTTCCCTGGTGTCGTTTTTGGGTCACTTATGTAAACTATCATATCATCTGCAAATAGTAAAAGTTTGACCTCTCCCTTTCCAATTTGTATCCCCTTGATCTCTTTTTGTTGTCTTATTGCTCTAGCTAGAACTTCAAGTACAATATTGAAGAGGTATGGAGAGAGTGGACAGCCTTGTCTTGTTCCTGATATTAGAGGAATTCAGTTGAGTTTCTGTCCATTTAGTTTGATGTTGGCTGTTGGTTTGCTGTATATAGCTTTTTATTATGTTCAGGTATGTTCCTGTTATCCCTGATCTCTCCAAGACCTTTATCATGAATGTGTGTTGGATTTTTGTCAAAAGCTTTTTCAGCCTCCAGTGAGATGATCATGTGATTTTTGCTTCTCAGCTTGTTTATATGGTGAATTACATTGATGGATTTTTGTATGTTGAACCAACCCTGCATGCCTGGGATGAAGCCTACTTGATCGTGGTGGATGAGTTTTCCGATGTGTTTTTGGATCCGATTTGCCAGTATTTTATTGAGTAAACAAAATCACATTGTTTACCCTCTCCCTTTCTTCCTTCCAGTCCCTCCCAGGTATTTCTTTTTAAGTGTGTGTGTGTGTGTGTGTGTGTGTGTGTGTGTGTGTGTGTTTCAATGTGTATACAGTGTGCACGTGGAGGTCAGAGGACAACTTAGGGAAGTCAGTTATGTCCTTCAACCATATGGGTCCCACAGATAGGACTCAGGTGGTCAGGAGGCCTGGAGGTAGGTGCTATTCTGCCCATCCAAATCTAAATGATTGTACAGTTTTTTTTAACAAACTGAGCATGCTTGAGTTTGTAAATATGAGAAATCATGTGTTTGCACTGAAGAGATAAAAATCTAGCAGGAATCCAGTCGATGTCCCTGTTCTCCATTCTTTCCCTGCATGCTATACGGTCCCTCTTTTCCTTCCTTCAGCTGCCTCACCCCAGGCGATGCTACTGACAATCACAAAGCCCATTACCTACCACCTCAGTAGACACGACTGACCAACAGTCAGCACTCTCAAGACTTTAGTTCAGAGATGGACACGGCGTTCAAAGAGTCCATTCCCGGGAGATGATCTGCCTGCTGGGACAATGAACATATGTACTAAGTGATGGAGCCTCAGGAGCCCAGGAAGGGGAGTTTACCATACAAACAGTCAACAGTGTTTCACATCAATGACAAACTGAGCTTGTAACCTAAGCAGGAAGAAGAATGGGAGACCTTCCAGATGCAGTTGAGCACCGAAGGACCAGCACTAGCCACTGACAGTTGTGTCCTCAGAAGAACAGGGAAGAAGCTGAGAGTATTCTGAAGACAACAAGTTCCTAGACAACTCTAAAAAGAGATGAGCTATCTCCCAATTCACAGACTTTTCAAACTTTTGCTTTGGGTGTATCCAAAAATCAGAATTTTAGTGAAAGTGGTTTATGTTGAGGTATTTCCAAATAGCAACATAAGGAAGTGTGCTCTTGTTATCTGTATCTGACAACCTGATACAACCTTATAGTCAAAGTTTATAAAGAGCCAATTCATAGAACCCAGATTTTTTATCTGTACCCCAAACACAAGTACAAGTGAAAATATTTTGTCAAAAATGATTTATTAAAGCAAAGACTAAAAACAAGTAAAAGAAATCTCTGGGCAATTCTAGTAGCAGTCCATGACAATAGCTAAAGAAGCCAATTAGTTGGAAGTGTAATGGCTTAAGCATAGAATGCTGCTTTTAAAATTATATCAGGACTGGTAAGAGTGTTCAGTGGGGAAAGACACTTGCTTCCAATTCCAATGACCTGAGTCCTACAGCCAGGACTCACAAAGTCGAAGAAGAGACCTGAGTCCTTCAAGTTGTCCTCTGACCACACATGCGTGCCATACCCCTGCCCCCAACACACACAAATAAATAAAATTGAAATTTGTAAAATGATTAAGCATTCTCAATTAAAAGATATAGTCATTGAAGGTAAAATAAGGAAATAGGCAAGTTTTTGTTTTTTAATTTTTCAAATAGTCTAATGTAATGTAGACCTGTCACAAATATACAAAACCACAGCATCATCTGATTAGATACAGAAAAGTTCTTTGACAAAATCCAAGTCCTCCATCATGAAAGTTCTGGAGAGATTAGCAATACAAAGAACATACCTAAACATAATGGCAGTTTACAGTAAGCCCATAGCCAACATCAGTATAAATGGAGAAAAACTCAAAGCAAATCCCCTAAAACCAGCAACAAAACGAGACTGTTCACTCTCTCCATACATATCCCATACAGTACTTGAAGTCTTACCTAGAGCAATAAGACAACTGAAGGAGATCAAGGGGATACAAATTGTAAAGGATGAAGAGAAAGCATCTTTATCTGCAAATGATATGATAGTATAAATAAATGACTAAAAATTTTGACAAGAAACTTGTACATCTGAGAAAACTTTTAGCAAAATATCTGGATACCAAATCAAATGACAAAAATCTGTAGTCCTCTTATATATGAATGACACATGGGCTAAGAAAGAAATCAGGGAAACAACTCCCACCACAATAGCTTCACGTAATGTAAAATATTTTGTGGTAACTCTTACCAAGCAAGTGAAAGATTTATATGATAAAAATTTATTGAAAAAAGAAAGTGAGGAAGATATTAGAAGTTGGAAAGATCTCCCATGCTCATGGATCAGTACGGTTACTATAGTAAAAATGGCCATCTCCATTAAAAGCAATCTACATATTCAGTGCAATACCCATCCAAATTCCAACACAATTTTTCACATATTTTGAAATGACAATTTTCAGCTTCATATGGAAACACATAAACAAAAATCTAGGATAGCTAAAAATACTAAATAATGAAAGAATTATTGGAATTATCCCTAATTCCAAGTTGTACTACCAAGCTATAGTAATAAAATCATCATGGCATTTTTGGCACAAAAAAAGAAATGTTAATCAGTGAAATAGAATTGATGAAGCATAAATAAATCTACATATCTATTGACACTTGATTTTTTGATAAAGAAGTCAGAAACACTCACCGGGAGAAAGTCAGCACCTTCAACAAATGATGCTAGTCAAACCGGATGATTGCAGGTAGAAGAATGCAAATGAATCCATATTTGTCACCCTACACAGAACTCAACTACAATTGAGGAACAAAGACCTCAATATAAAACATGGCACACTGAACCTACTAGAAGAGAAAGTGGAGAATAGCCTTGAATGCACTGACAAGGAGACAACTTCCTGAACAGAGCACACAAATAGTGCAGGTACTAAGATCAACAAGTAATAAATGGGACCTCATGAAACTGAGACACTTCTGTGAGGCAAAGGACATCATCATTCAGAAAAATGGTTGGCTGCATAATGGAAAAAGGTTTTTTACCAACTACACATCCAATAGAGGGTTAATATCCAAAATATATAAAGAACTCAAAAACTATATATCAAGAAAACAAAAATATCTTAAAAGGTGGTACAGTAATAGTATCCCTCCATTGGGAATGGCCTCCCCAAGTCCATTTGTGGCCTAAGAATAAACCCTGGCTCCCCTGGACTTTGATGATTCCCCATGGAGGCTCTTATTATCCCTGGGGAGTGGGTGGTGGGTGGGTTGGAGGTGTTGATGGGAAACATGGGAGGATGGGAGATCAAGAGAAGAGGTGACACATAAGTAAATAAAAGTGCTTCTAAAAATAAAAGTTTTAAAAAGGTGGTACAGACCTAAACAGAGAATTCTTAATAGAGAAATCTCAAATAGCTGGGAAATATTTAAAGAAGTGTTCATCATCCCTAGCCATCAGAGAAGTGCTGAGCAACACTACTTTGTGATTTCATCTTACAGCTGTCAGAATAGCTAAGATCAGTAATACAAGTGATAGCTCACGATGATGGGGATGTAGATCCAGGGGAACATTCATTCATTGTTGGTAGAAGAGCAAACTTGTACAACCACTGTGGAAATCTGTGTGGCTGTTCCTCATGAAGGTAGGAATTAATCCACCTCAATATCCAACTATACTGTTCTTGGTTATGTAACCGGGGGATGCTTTATCCTACTACAAAGACACTTTCTCAGCCATGTTAATTACATTCTACCCATATTCAAAATTTGGAAACAGCCTAGATATCCCTCAACAGAAGAAGGGATAAAAAATGTGGTACATTTACACAATTGTTTTATTTTTTAAAAATGGCATCATGAAATTTGCCAGCAAGTAGATGGAACAGAAAAAAATAATACTGAATGAGGTATCCCACACTCCAAAAGACAAATTTGATCAGGGTCTTATTCAGCTATCATTAGAGAAGCTTCCTCTGGTGGCAGACTGGAACAAATGCAGAGACCCATCCACAGACGTTATACAGATTGGAACACTGCATAGAGCTCCAAGAAAGACCTTGGGACACGCAGCTCTAAATGGGGTGTCTCCATCAAATCCTTCCCCTCAGAGCACAGGGAACCTGCAGAAGGGGAGGCAGAAAGAATGTAAGAGCCAGAGGTGATGGAGGACACCAAGAAAATAAAGCCAACCAAATCAACAAGATCAAAGCTCTTATGACCGGAGCTGAAGCAGAATGCACGGGGCCTATAAGGGCCTGTTTCAAGTTCTCTGAGTATCAAGGCTCCCAGTTTAGTGTTTTCATGGGATTCCTTGAGTGTGCCGACAAATGGGTCTCTAGTTCTTTGCCTTCTCTTGGGTCCTTTTCCTTCTGTTGGTTTGTCTTGTCCAACTTCAATGTGATAGTTTTTGCTTTATTGTGTTTTTATTTTATTTTGTGATATATTTATTGTCATCTCCTGGAAACTTTTTTCCTAATGAGAGGCAGAATGGAAGTGGGTCAGGAGAGGAGGGGAGATGGGAAGGAACTGGGAAGAATATAAGGAGAGAAAACTGTAATGGGGATGCATTGTGTGAGAAAAGAATCTATTTTCAACAAAAATGAAAAAAAATGCCACTAAGTCTTCTACTTGAAAAATACTCAGCGGGTACTTAGATGCCAATATTCCTTAAGATGTGTTTCTGTATTTTAACAAACCCATATAACACAGGATTTTCTAATCCATGATGATTCTTTCTTTCACACCTTCCTTCCCAGTCCTTTGGGGGTAAATCAGCTGATGCTTTACCTCAATGGTGTTCTCCATTTCCAATTAATCCTAAGAAGTAATTCACATGCAAAGCTCAAGTTACAAAGCAAAGTTGAAATGACTAATGAGTTTTGGTGAGGATTGGACACAAACAAATACTAAATTGCCACATCATGGGTCTTCTCCTTTCAGTGATAAATTAGTAAGCAAATAAGCATTTCTGAAGTGGACTGAAGTCTTACCAAATAATTTTTAAGTAACATAAAATATGAGCTACTAACAGAGAATGAGAAACAAGTTAAGGAAAAACGCTGTGAAATGAGGAGCAGACACGAAGTGTTAGAATAAATTATCTGTTCTGTCTGTTATTTATCTTTATTTGGTGCTTTCCAATTAATTGTACTTAGCTGAATGGAAACATGAAATTAGCATTATAAAGAGAACTTGAAGCCTAAAATGAGTAAATATTTACTGAGTGCTTAACATTTGATGTTACAAGACAAAGCCCTGAGCACAGGGAGTATCTCAAGTGCTGAAATAACAGTTACGGTATTTCCACCTGAAACATTCTTGCTGGAGAGATGACTCATTATTCCTCCCAGTTAAGTGCATGTAACCTGCCTCAGAGGGGCTCAGTTCCCAACGCCCATAACCACCTGAAACTCCCAGGGGAGTCAATGCTGTCTTCTGACCTCTGTGGGCACCTGCACTCACATACACAGACTCCTACACAGACAGACACACATATACACAATCAATTAAAATATGTTTTTTAAAAGAAATGTTCTTATACTTTCTGTTGTGTGGCTTAATATCTTAAAATTCAGCACACACACACACACACACACACACACCACAACCACCACCACCATCTTCTACAAAGTAGTTTTAAAGTACAAATTTCTGAAGGTACTTTAAGAAATGTACCAAAAAAATTGTGAGAAGGCACTATGTGAACTCCATTAAGTATGGTACAAACAAAAATCCTACTGGATTCTGAGAACACACCAGTTCTTTCTTTGATCTGAGAAGTCTTTTTAAGGACTCAATGCTATTTGAATCTAGCTTCAAAGAACAGATGGGATTTCAATAAAGGAGCTGCAGGGATAGATAGTTCAGATTTCAGAAGCAACTTGTCCAAAGAAATCAAGGCAAGCTTGGATTCAGGGAAGCAGAACTTCAATGGGTAGTGCTGACTACTTTATTGGATGGTTAGGAAGTCATCACTGGGTTTTCTACACATGCTAAGTTCTTACAAAGGAAATGATGAGATCATGTGTTTGTCCTGAAGGTTGATTTAAAAGGTCAGACAGATCTGGGATTGATAACAGAAAAGCTAGTTAACCAGAATCTCCATTTTTCTTCTCAAATGAGATTAGTAATCAATTCCTAAGAAACTTAAGTGAGACCGTGTATGTAGAGTGTCCGCCCGCAGTATTCAAGTGGTTTTTGCCATTGGAAAGAAGTAAGATGTCAAAACATTTGAATATAAATTAAAATGTTTACTTGAGTATTTCGTTTGTGACAAGCAATTCACAAGTAGTAGTTCACCAGGGATTAGGGGAGCAAATCCCTCACAATCACCGTGCTGGAACCAAAATTGATTTGGACAGGAAAGCCAGCACAAGGACCATGGAGGTATGCACACCGCCATCTTACCTACAGCACCACCCTTTGGCCGTGTGACAGCATTAGTAGAAAGTTCTTATCCCCAAGTTCTTCTTCGTGTGTGAAATGGAGACGATCTCTCATAAAAGCAAGTCACTGCCCCAATACAACCCTAGTGATAACAGAGCAGTGGTCTACCCTTACCTACCCCAGCTTCCCTGTCTAGTTTGGTGATCTCTGCTCCAACCAACTAACTCCAAGCTTGGAGATGTTGGAAAACTATTTGACCCATGTCAACCCTCACTTCTCCTTTCTATTGCATCAGGCCACTACAAAACATTATTGTGAGTATAAAATTAAACGATGTGTGTAGAAGTGCTGTGTAAATTCAAAGTACATAAGCTTTAGACTTTATAGTATAAAGCATACAAAGTATAAATTGCTCTAATAGCAGGTAGGAAATATCTATTTCTACGGAAGAGCATTAATCTTAGGATTTTGTTAACTCAAAATTCTCCATTTCAATGACTGAAGCAACTTTCTTCCTAAAATTTGCATGAATTTAACACTATCCTAGAAGCCTCCAAGAAGGTTATAGTGTGGTTGAGTTGTAGAAGGCTTGTCTATCATGAGGACTTGTCAACATGCTCAAACCCTGGGTTTCTATTCCCAGGAACAGGGTTGGAGAGTTCCCAAGAGTATTTGTTTATTTCTAAACCCCGGATGTCAGGCTGCTTTTTCTATTGTGACTCCATTTGGGCATTATACCCTGTGACTAATGACATTAAAAGCAGAGGCCAGTGACAGGGAGATATCGATACTCGCTCAAAAAAATCAATAAATAAAAAAGATCAGAGGTAGGAAACATTCCCTTATTGTGATTAGTGAGACAGTGTCTTGGCTTATTCTTTGAGTAAGTGTTCATTGAACATTCATTTCAAGTCAAGCACAGTGATGTATTGCAGATACAGGGATGAGTAAGATGCAGCCTCTGGTCCGTGTAAATAGGGCAGTCACAATGCCCTGAACTCTTTGAGAAGATGAAATTCTTCTGCTTGGCACAGTTCAGTAGCCAAGCAACCTTTGAGCTGAACATTTAAAGATGTGGCCAAGTGGAAAACTAATATATGTACGTTAGCCCAAGCCTGGAAGGGTGTAGACATGACAAGACATGTTTCATAAACTGCACTTGTCTGTGTACAGCCTTTCTGGCTTTCATATCTACATACTGTGGTCCCGCAGTAATTTCTCTATTTTCATTAAATCGCCTCACATTTTTCAACTTTTTTTAACTTTGTAAATCTATTTACAAAGAAAAATTCAACTAACTGTACTAATCATTAGTTTTTTGTCCTCTAAAATGAATTCATAGTCACATAAATACAAGCAATAAATAAAGATATTAGTTCCTACAGTATTAAAAATTATTTCTTTGAGAATGTATGTAAGAATTAAAACACATCCATGTGGGGTTGTTAAGAACACTTGCTGCTCTTACAGAGGGCCCAGGTTCAATTCCCAACCCTGTAGGGAATTTTGAAGTTACATTCTTAACACCAGTTCCCCAGGATTAGATGCCCTCTTTTGGCCTCCTCTAGCATTGAATCCATGCGGTGCACAGACGCATGCAGGAAAAATACCCATACACACACAATAATTTGAAAAACAAAATTTAA